CCTTTTTATTTTGAGATACAATCTTGCTAAATTACCCAGATTGGCCACAAACTTGTGATCCTCCTGCCTTACTTAGCCTCCCAAGAAGCTGAGATTATAGGTGTGAATCAACATACCCAGCTATCCAATCATGTTAGTTCCCTTAAAAAGCAGAGTGAGAAGATGGAGATAGCTCCAGTTGGTAGCTCAGTTGGTAGAATGCCTGCCTAGCATGCACAAAGCCCTGGGTTCAATGTTCAACACTGAATAAAACCATAAATGGTGGTTCATGGCTATAGTCCCACCACTCAGGAGGTAGAGGCAGGGAAATCACAAGTTCAAAGTCATCCTCAGCTACATATCAAGTTCAAGAACAGTCCATACTGGTCAGTCCATATATGAGACTGTATAAAACAACAACAGCAAAAATGTACAGTGAATGATCATTGTATTCCAATTTACACAGAGGGAGCTTACAATTGCCTGTTGAAATGTCCATCTGATAGTAAAATAGCATTACTTATTTCATAGACATAGAAATTAAGAGATTCACCCAGGGGAATTAGTGGCAATGTATCATCATTAAATCCAGGTTTCACACACTATGAAGTAAGAAGGGCTCATTCTAAATCATGGACAACCATGAAACATATTAGAAAGAACTAGCCTTCACAAGGCCAAAGAGCCTCAGAGTTCATTCTGTAAACATACAGACTCAACTACACTCCAATTCTTTGAAATTGTGACACCATCATGAAAGAAGGCACCACCATCTTCCTTGCAGCCAGAGTAACCTGTAACTCTAACAGGTGAAGGTCAGTCCTCAACCCCCTTGAACAAAATGTCAGAGGTGCTCCATTACTCTCCCTCCATGACACAACATGTGAAAAGCCCCTGAATCTCAAATGGCTCTGTGGAACAGAACTTTCTTACCAGCCTAACTTACTTGGAATAAATGAAGGGAGGAATGTATGCTCCAAGTTGTTTCTTAAGTTCTTTGAGGTAGTAAAGTTTTATTCTAAACACTATAATCATAAAGTTAGAATAATTGAAGGGTCATTTTTAAACAGCCAGTATACTTCCATCTCCTATCCTTGGAGTGAGATGCAAATCTAGGGGATCCACAGGCAAGAAGAAAAGATATGAGACTTGACAGCATTACTAAAGAAGAACTTCCATTCTTTAAAAAAAAAAAGTTATTACATTTAGTGTGTCCCATGGCATGTGTGTGAAGGTCAGAGGACAACTAACTTGTGGAAATCAGTTCTCTCCTTGCAGCATGTGGGTCCCAGGGATCAAACTCAGGTCATCAGGCTTGGCAGCAAGCACTTAAATCCTCTGAACCATCTCCATGGCTCAGAGCCATCACTCATGATGCTAAAAACCAGGGCTGCCTTTTCACCAATTTGAAGGTTGCATTCATTCCATCCCTTCCAAACAAGAAAAAGAAAGTGACAATAGCTCCAATTACCGCTTCCTATAAAACCAAAATTAAAGGCAGTCAGCTAGACTTTCATAGCGATGATTCTGACTAATGTACCAGCAAAGACAAACATCTAATTAAGATAATTCTGCTTATTAACTGAGGCACCTGGACATGATACTCTGAGACCATTTCTAGCACCAAGTCTGTGATTCTGAAACACAAATCATTTCATTAGAATGAAAAAGTAATAATCAGTAGAAAGTTTGATTCCCCTGAAGCTGGAGTTACAGGCAGTTGTGCATTGCCTGGCACAGACACTGGGAACTGAACTAGGGTCCTCTGCAAGAACAGTACATGCTCTTAACCACTGAGCTACCTCTCCAGTCATTGGTTGTTTTTTTAAGACAGTCTTACACCATAATCCAGACAGGTCTTGATTCATACTGATTAACACTTTACCATCTCTATGACCTTCTATCACTAAAATATAAAAGCTTGGGGCTGAAGAAATGGCTCAGCAGTTAAGACCATCTGTTGTTCTTCCAGAGGACCCAGATTTGAGGTTCAAGTCCCAGCACCCACATGGTAGCTAACAACCATTGGTAACTCCAGCTCCAGGGTGTCCAACACCCTCTTCTGGCCTCTGCAGGCATTGCATGCATGGTACACTTACATATATGCAGGCAAAACACTCAAATATATAAAATAAAAATAATAAACAGTGCCAGGCATGGTGGTGCACACCTTTAGTCCCTGCACTTGGGAGGCAGAGACAGGCAGATCTCTGTGAGTTCAAGGCCAGTCTGGTCTACAGGGCGAGTTCCAGGCCAACTGAGGCTACAGGGAGACCCTGTCTCAAAAAAACAGAAAAAAATAATAAATAAAATATTTAAATCTAAAATGCCCAAGAATGTGGTAATAATTGATGTGATAAAATAGATGGCTCAGTGGTTAAGAGCACTGACTGCTCTTGCAGAGGACCCGGGTTCAAGTCCCAGCACCCACATGGCAGCTATGAACCATCCTTGACTCCAGTTCCAGGGGAATCTGAAGCCATCTTCTGACCTCTGCAGCACTGTACAATACAGGTGCACTCACATACATGCAGGCAATACACTCATACACACAAACCCGAGTGCTGGGATTAAAGGTATGGGCCACCACACCCGGCTTATAAAATATATTTTTTAAAAAAGAAATATTATGAATATATGGGAAAATGTTTTAATTAATGCTAATTTAATAATAAGCCAAAAAGGTAGAGCACAATATAGTACATTTACAAGGATCACAATTTTTGAGGGGGAAGGGGGCTGTGTGTGCTGTATGTGGTGTGTGTGATGTATGTCTGTGGGGGAGGCACATACATGTGAGTGTGCAGTGCATGCATCCACAGGTGTGCATACAAGGCCAGAATAGAACAGTGGATGTCTTCCTCTATTGGCCGCCACCTTAATTCCTTGAGTCAGGGACTCTCACTAAACAGGGAGCGCATTATTTTGGTTAGGCTGCCCAGTCAATGAGCTCACAAGATCCATCTGTCTCCACCCGCCTCTCCCAAATGCTAAGGTTAGAGGCACATACAGCCATACCAGGCTTTTTTATGTGAGTGCTAGATATTCAGACTCAGGTCCTCATGCTTACAGAGCAAATGCTCTTACCCATTAAGCCATTTCCTCAGGCCTTAAACTGGTTATAACTTTACAGAAAAGTACAGATTCTTTTTAATGATAACAAAAAAGTACATCAAAAAGAAGTTAAGGAAAATGAATTTTTAGTAGGGTCATTTTTTATTAGGTCAAATTTTACTAGGGTCGTGACCTTAGTAAAAAAGCATTTCCCCTTAAAGTTGTATATGCTTATATAATAATGACTCTTGGAGCTAGGAAGAGAGTTCAGTCAGTAAAATGTTTGACTTGCAAGTATGAGGACCTGAGTTTGATTCCCCAGAACTCGTGTGAAAATGCTGGGCATGGTGGCATGCATTGGGGAGGTGGAGACAGGAGAAACCCTGGTACTCAATGGTCAGCTCATCTAGCCTAAGTGACTAGCCCCAGGTTCAATGAGAGACCTTATCTCAAAGGAGGTAGACAGTGTTCTTGAGGATGACACCCAAGGCTGTCTTGGCCTCCACATGTACACATACACATGTGGCATGTGTACCCACACCCCACATACACACACACACACACATAAAACAAATTTTAAAATTACCTTTGGAAATAATTAAACCCTATATCGAGAGGTATGAAAGAAAATAGGAAGATGTTACTATGTGTAAACAGATTTTTTAGTAGTCTTCGACTCAAATCAAATTTCCTAAAGTCTATTTTAAACTTGGCATTTGCAAAAACTCCACTGACAGTTGTCTGTTTGCTGAGGTCATCTTTCAAGCAAACTGGCATCACAAGTAGAAACTAAAGACAAATACTGAGAACGTTTTCATTGCTACCACACTGTATACTTCAAAATGGTTCTTTTTGTGATATTAATTTTACCTCAGTTAACAGCAAAGGAAGGATAAAGTCATGGTAAATGCCTGTATTACTAAGAAAATGTAACATGCATGGCCTCTTAAAGAGACAGTATAGCAAATCTCAGAAACAAAATAATGAATTCTAACTGAAATAGTCTGACAACAGAAAGTCATGTATTAGTGATTAATATATGAGATCGGCCTCAAAGGAATGAGGAAGAGAAGGAGATGTGGAGGGTGTGGAGTTGGGAGTGTAGCTAAACGCCATCAGCTATAAGTAAATACTGTTGAAGCTGGACACAGGCCAATGACTTTGTTATTTTGTTTCCTCCACCTTCGCATCTGTTTGGGGGTTGGGGGTATGTACATGTGTTTACATCCATGTCCCTGTGCACATGCATGTGAAGACCAGAATAGGGCATCAGGCGTCTTCCTCCATCACTCTCCACCTTCTATTTTGAGACAAGGTCTCACTGAACCTGAAGCTTCCTGTTTCTGCTAAGCCAGTTGGCCAGCTAACTCCCAAGAGCCACCAGTCTCCACCCTCCAAAGCTGGGATTACAGAAATGTGCCCAGTGACTAGCTGATTGGGTGAGTGCTGGGGATTCAAGCTCAGGTCTTCTGGTTTGCACAGCAAGTACCTTTGCCCACTAGGCTATCTCCTTGGCCCTAAACAGATTATTTTAACTGTATTTTCAGAATGAATTTAGTTCTGGAAATAGAAACATATGTTCAGCAGTGGATGTGAACAAAGCTTAAAATGAATCAGCAAAGCAGCAAGGATCCCCCTTCATTACTATTATTATTGCAGCATTTCATTTCTAACACTATCCATTGTTAACTTTTTCTTGGAGGGGGGGATCTTTTTGAGACAGGGTCTCCCTGTAGCCCCAGCTGGCCTGAAACTCACTATGTAGACCAGGCTGGCCTCGAACTCACAAAGATTCACTTGCCTCTGCCTCCCAAGTGCTGGGACTAAAGGTGTGCGCCACCATGCCCAGTAGTTAACTCATTTTTATTGAACACACATGCTTAAGAATTTCCTCAACAGTTTACTTGAACAGACTTCCTATACAGCACATTTTGTGAACAGTATCAAGTCATGGGATCCATACATACCAGGAGTATCATAGGCCTTCTCCAAGTTGTCAATCCGATGATTCCAGAGAGTATCACCTATGAGGATAAATACACCATCAGCCCAGAAAATGCTAGACAGATATTCCCTATTCCTGCTTATGACTCAAACCTGGTAGTAGCCCAGTCTATCTTCCACTAGCAAGCTACAAAGCATGTTTACTGGCTATGTGTGCTTCCCTCTGGTGTCAGTAAAAATTCAGTATGTCTGATCAAAGTCTGTATACCCAGTTTGCTGCCAGTCATTCTAAGAACATGCACATGGGTACCTTCACAGAACAGGTAAGTTTCAAAATGGTACACAATGGGGATCTCCCATTGCCTATGTCTGAAGCCTAGTTTCCACATTCCCCTGCCCCACCCCCCTACACACACACACACACACACACCCTCCTCCCTTCCTAGGCTAGCCAAGACTGGACATTCCTGGACTATGTGCTGTGTCCTCTTTATTGCAGCACCTGTTCCTCTCCCAACCCCACACACCTAGAAACCTTGTGACTATAACTTAAAAATCAGTATAACTTAAAAATTACCTTTGGAAATAATTAAACCCCATATCAAGAGGTATGAAAGAAAACTAAGAAGTTACTATGATTTTTAAGTAGTCTTTAACTCAAATCAAATTTCCTAAACTCTATTTTAAACTTAGCATTTGCATAGACTCCAAAGGCAGTTGTCTGTATGCAGTGGTCATCTCTCAGTCAAACTGGCATTGTAAGTAAAAACTAAGGACAAATATTGAGAATGTTTTTCCTTTAAAAACTTTCTATTGTGGGGCTGGAGAGATGGCTCAGCAGTTAAGAGCACTTGCTGCTCTTGCAGAGGACCTGAGTTCAATTCCCAGCACCCATATTGGGTAGCTCACAACTACCTGTAACTCCAGCTTCAAGGGATCTGATACCCTCTTCTGGACTCCAAGGGCTCCCACATGCATGTACACATATAAATAGGTACACACACAAAGTTTTGTAAAATAAAGAGGGGCAGGACGGATGGTCCGGAGGTTAAGACTAGCTGGTCTTGGCCGGGCATGGTGGCGCACACCTTTAATCCCAGCACTTGGAAGGCAGTACACACACAAAGTTTTGTAAAATAAAGAGGGACAGGACGGATGGTCAGGAGGTTAAGACTAGCTGGTCTTGGCCGGGCATGGTGGCACACACCTTTAATCCCAGCACTTGGAAGGCAAAGGCAGGTGGATCTTTGTGAGTTCAGGCCAGCCTGGTCTACATAGTGAGTTCCAGGACAGCTGGGACTACAGGGAGACCCTGTCTCAAAAAGATTTAAAAAAAAGAAAAGACTAGCTGGTCTTGCGGAGGACCCTAGTTCAGTTCCCAACACCCAAATGGTGGCTAAAAACTGTCCCTAACTCCAGTTCCAGGGGATCTGATACCTTCTTCTAGCCTCTCTGGGCATTGCACGACATAGATGCACTTACACACAAGCAGGTAAAACACTCATACATATAAAATAATAAAGAAATAAAGGAAAAAAGAAAAGAAAAACTCCAGTGTAGGAATTTTATCTCTGCACTATCCACCATGAACCCGTCTTGTCTAGAATCTCTGCCCTAGCATGGTGCCTGTCACATGCTTATCAGCGAGTGAATGTTCCTGAGCACTTATTCCACAAAGAGGAACTACAGAAAGTGCCTATGTTGCACAATGTTGCTTCAATAAACAACACTCTAACATTCTTGGTAAAGAAGAATCCAAATGTTGCCAAAATATTAACTATAAACTACTGTTAGCCTGCTGGATGGGACAGCTCATTAAGCCACAATCAAGGCAATCATTCTACTCAGACACCCTGAGGCCTCCTCAGTATATTTATCCCCTGGGCTAGGGTGTGTCTGCCCAGCAGAGCCTGCACCTTTGTGGTATATCTCCCTTGCTAGAATCCCTCCTATGCACCCATCCATAATTACTACTTATTAACCACATTTCAGGCAGGGGTGTAAGGGTCACTTCAGATCAAAGCACACAGCTCACCTGCAATACCCACATCTCACTGAGACTGAATCATCCCAAAGCACCAAGGCAGCAGGAGACAAGTATGTCTACTTTGCACACTTGTACCAAGGACCAAAAAACCTGTATGTGCAGGCAGGTGATAGTTTCACAGTCCTATTGATTCTGTAGGAGTTTATGTGCCCTTATCTTGAATGTATGGACTGTGTCTCCACTTTCCACACCAGAACCAGAAATTATGAGACCCAAAGATCTAGGCTCCCACTCAATTTCCAAAGAGTTAACCACACGATCTTGGTTAAGTCTCCTCATGTCTCTGGCCCTTACTCTGGTCTTCTGTAAAATGTTAAATGAAAGAAACCATTTTGGATCTCTTCCAGCTCAAATACTGACATTGAGCTGGGTGAGGCAGTGCATACCTATAATACTCAGGACATTTCATGAGGCAAGAGGATCTCAAGTTCAAATTTACCATGGGCCCATGTGCTCAGACAACCAAAAACAAGACTCACAAAAGACAAATCAAAAGACTGACCCAAGGCTACAGAAATAGCTCGACAGTTAAGAACACTGGCTGCCCTTACAGAGGACACAAGTTCAGTTCTCAGCACTCACATGGCAGCTAACAACAGTCCATAACTCCAGTTCCAGGGGATCCAATGCCCTGTTCTGGCTTCCATGGGCATTGAATACATGTGATACACTTACATGCATGCATGCAAAACACTCATAGACATAAAATAAAAATAAATAGAATTAAAAAAAAAAGACTGACAGCCCCCTGCCCCCATGGGCTGCAGAGCTGGTGTAGCCGTTAAAGGCTCAGGCTCACAACCAAAAAAAAAAAAAAAAACTGACCCCACTATGATGACAGATTCCTCAGAAGTCCCAATACCTAGTGTGCAGGCACATATTTGCATGTGCGTATGAATTTGTATGAATTCTCATGTGAGTGCATGGATATACATCTGGGTGTCCATGTGTGCATGAGCACATGTGCATGTTCATGCATCTGCTGTCTACACAGCACACACTTGCATATACACATCTACGTAAGTGTCCTTGTGTGTGTATGTGTGCGTGTGCGTGTGTGTGTGTGTGTGTGTGTGTATGCCTGCTTGCCCTGATGGGCAAACTGTTTTTGTGAAAACATGACAGAAAATTTCCCTACCCTTGTCAGAAACACAAACTTCCCACTGAAGTAAAAAAAATAATGATGATTTGAATTATTGATTAGTGTCTGTTATTTGTGTCACTAGTCTCCTTACGACAGACCCTGTGGTTCAGTTTTCTGGAACATTCTCTCTTTTCATTAAAACTGTATTATTAAGATAAAGTATCCAACTCAAGATATAAAAGCCTATAAAATAGTGATGTGTCTAAGCCACACTTTCTACTTCCCCTCCAGCTCAGCCCCTCATTCTCTCTTCTCATAAGCTAGCATAGTAAATATATTTTATATAAGTATATATTTTTTTCTAAATCCTCATCACTATACCCCTGTGTGTGTACACATAGGTACAAGGGTGTGATTTCCACAAATCATGAAAGATTTGCTTTTCCTGCCTCTTTTTTCCTCTCTCAATAAAGACTTCATTGGCCTCTCTTCAAGCCCACTGAAATCACTGTAATTTATTTCCCTGTAATGGCTGTATAATCTTCCATTGTGTGGCGATGTCTAATGTATTCAGTCATTTCCTATTCATGGGCATTCACTCAAGTCCCAGCTTCTTGCCCTCATAAACAATGAGCCATAAACATTCACAAATATATATCTTTAAAGACAAGTGCTTTTATTTCTGTTGGGCAAAGTCTCATATGTTTAATTCTAATAGACTGGGACAGATCTGTCATTTCTGATGGAGGGATTCTGAGACAAAAAGTGCTATGTTATCTTCCTTTGGATGTAATATTTGCTCACATAGTAGCAACAAACTGTAGAAATGTAACTGAAAATATATATAATGTATAGGAGACATAAGAAAAACATCAATAAGCAGGCCTGGTGGCACACGTCTTTAGTCCCAGCACTGGGGAGGCAGAGGCAGGCAGATCTCTGTGAGTTCAAGGCCAGCCTTGTCTACATAGTGAGAATTCAGGTCAGCTGGGACTACAGGGGGACCCAGTCTCAAAAAGACAAAAAAAAAAGGGTTGGAGAGATGACTCAGTGGTTAAGAGCAGTGACTGCTCTTGCACATGACCCAGGTTAGATTCCCAGCACCCACATGGCAGCTATGAACCATCCTTAACTCCAGTTCCAGGGGGAATCTGAAGCCCTCTTCTGACCTCTGTGGCATTGCACGACACGGGTGCACTCACATACACGCAGGCAATATACTCGTATACATAAAATAAATAAGTAAATAAATAAAAGACCAAGAAAAGGAAAAAAGAAAAAGAAAAACATCAATAACTCAAAACATATTTGGCAAAGAACTTAAGATTTTGATAAGAAGAAAAGCAAAGCTTATGAGCAATGTTAAACAAGACTCAAATCACATACCAAATTCATGGATCAGAAAACAAACTATTTAAAGGCATATTTCCACTTAAATTCTTTGATGGATACAGAGCACACCCAGGAAGCTTGTGTGAACCACTTTTTTTTTTTTGATCTTTTTGAGACAGGATCTCCCTGCAGCCCCAGCTGACCTGGAATTCACTGTGTAGACCAGGTTGGCCTTGAACTCACAGAGATCCACCAGCTTCTGCTGGGATTAGCTGAACCACCTTTCTTATCAGGTGCTGTAAGAAATTTCAGCCAGGCCTGGCAGAGCTAGTTTACACTCCCAGTGCTTCAAGAGGCTGATGCAGGAGGATCCCAAGTTTGAGGCCTGCCTGGGCAATAAAGTAGCTTCAAGGCCAGCTTGGCAATTCAGTGAGATCCTATTTCAAAAAAAAAAAAAAAAAAAAAAAAAAAAAATTTGAATAACCGGGTGTGATGGTGGCACATCTTTAATCCCAGCATTCTTTATGAGATTGAGGCCACCCTGATCTACATAGAGAGTTTCAGGCTAGCTGGGGCTACAGGGAGATCCTGTCTCAAAGAAACAAACAAAAATTAGA